GAGGGGGTTGAATGGGGGGCAGGGGGTTCTGGGGGGCGGTCAGGGAGAAGGGTAGTTGGATGGGGCAGGGGTCCTGGAGGGGGGGTAGTCAGGAATGAGAAGAGAGGTTGGATGGGGCAGTGGGGGGCAGTCAGGGGTAGGGGGTCTGGGGGCAGTCAGGGGACAGGGAGGGAGGGAGGGATGGATGGATGGGGCAGAGGCGTCAGGGGGCAAGAAGCAGGGGGGGTCGGTGGGGGGTGGGGGCCGGACCACGCTTGGCTGTTTGGGGAGGCACAGCCTTCCCTAACTGGTCCTCCATACAATTTCGGAAACTCAATGTGGCCCTCAGTCCAAAAAGTTTGCCTGCCCCTGGCATAGGGGATGGAACTAGGCGTGTGGGGGTGCAGTAGCATCTCTGGTTTGAAGTGGTTTCCATTATACAGGGTTTACAGTTTGGCTCAATTGCTTTCAGCACCACCTCTACAGAAATTGTTCCAGCACCTGTAGAACAAGGTGGGACTGGCCCCATGGGTCCTGGCTTCTCCTCCCACCTCTGGGACTTTAGACAAGTCACTTCTGCTCTCTGCTGCAGTTTCCCTATGTGGAGGAGGAGGAGAAGGTTATGTCCATCTTATCTATGACTATCACAAGGCTACATCCTGAGGCTGTCCAGAGATTTCCAGCAGCAGCCAGCATAAGAATTCAGACCCTCCTGCTCCAAAAGGAGACCCACTTAACAGTACAGGGCCTATGACACAACTGAGATGTTCTGGGTGTACACAGTAGAGGGCAGTAGTGCAGTTATTAGACAGTTTGCTATAACACCTTCCTACCCACCCATCTCCCGGGGTGTTATGGGACAAAACATTAATAATTGTAAACACTTATAGTAATAAGCAACAGAGGGTCCTGTGGCACCTTTGAGACTAACAGAAGTACTGGGAACATAAGCTTTCGTGGGTAAGAACCTCACTTCTTCAGATGCAAGTCACTTACATTGTGAGGTTCTTACCCACGAAAGCTTATGCTCCCAGTACTTCTGTTAGTCTCAAAGGTGCCACAGGACCCTCTGTTGCTTTTTACAGATTCAGACTAACACGGCTACCCCTCTGATACTTATAGTAATAATACTTTGCACTTCAGTGATACTTTCCCTCGTAGCAGCCAAGTAAATTATAAATTCATATGCCTCACTTTATTACTGCCCTCTGATTGTACCATGCAGCAACACTGCATCAAATTCACCCTTAGCGCAACTCCACTGAAGCCATGAGAATTCAGTGGAATTACACCAACGGTGAGCTCGGCCACTTTCTGTAACTAACAGCAACTTTGGTGAATGAGTTGTGAGTGGCCTTTGTTTCATTTGTACCAGTTTCCAAATGCAATGAATAAAATCAGCCACAGGCTACAGCTGGTTTGGGTTGTGTAATTTCATTGTTTTATTTCAGAAAATCTTAGTTAGCGGCCCGGTCCTGTAAACACTTACTGCTAGGCATGGTCCCATAGACCAGTGGTCTCCAAACTTTTTTGATCGCGCACCCCATCAGTAAAAAATTTTTGAGCACGCACCCCCAATATATGTATATTTATTTATTTATAAATTATATACACGTACTACTGTACTAATATATTATGTGCATTATAAAACATACACAAAAATAGAAATTCAAAAAGGATGAGAAAGATGAAAAACAATATTTAAAAAAAATTATTTATTTACGGTACAAAAAACCTTTTTGCTCTCACAAAAAAAAATATTTTGTAGTGAGAGCAATGTGATTGAATATGCTTCGTTATTTCTGAAAATCTTGGTTTAACACTTTGTAATACAGCGATTCAAAGGTCTGGATTAGGGTTAGGGTGTGGGAGGGCGCTCAGGGTGGGGTGCGGGGTCTGGGAGGGAGGCAGGAGGTGCAGAGCACTTACCTGGGGCAGCTCCTGTGTGGTGCGGGGGGTGTGCAGGTGGGTCT